CCCCCCAGATACGCACAGTCCGTGGGGCAGCCCCCCAACTCCAGCTCTGCACAGTCTGTAGGACAACCCCAGCCCCCCCCCGGGGCAGCCCCCCAGCCCCACTGTGGGGCAGCCCCCCCTAGATAAGCTCAGTCTATAGGGCAGCCCCCCCCCAGATACGCACAGTCCGTGGGGCAGCCCCCCAACTCCAGCTCTGCACAGTCTGTAGGGCAACCCCAGCCCCCCCCCGGGGCAGCCCCCCAGCCCCACTGTGGGGCAGCCCCCCCTAGATAAGCTCAGTCTATAGGGCAGCCCCCCCCAGCCCCATTTTGGGCAGCCCCCCCTAGATCAGCTCAGTCTATAGGGCAGCCCCCCCTAGATAAGCTCAGTCTATAGGGCAGCCCACCCTAGATAAGCTCAGTCTATAGGGCAGCCCCCCCCCAGCCCCACTGTGGGGCAGCCCCCCCTAGATAAGCTCAGTCTATAGGGCAGCCCCCCCCGGCTCTGCCCCCCCCCTCCCCGGGGCAGCCCCCCAGCCCCAGCTTGTGCCTCCTCCCCCCGGGGGGGCCCCGCCCACATTTTGGGGTCTCCTCCCGCCCCCCCCTCCACGTTCCAGCTTCCAATAAATCCTCCTGTGCCCTCCCGCCCCGTGTCTGTGGAGTGAGATGGGGGGGGGGGTGCTGGGACCCCCAGGGACCCCCCCCGGGCCCAGGGAGCCCCCCCTGGCTCTGCCCCACACGCCTGGACCCCCCTCCCCACCCCGGTCCCTGCCCCTGCGCCGTGGGGCAGTGCCAGCACCACACAACCCCCCCTGCGCTCCAAGCATTTATTGATCCCGTGGCTGGGCCAGATCAATGCCAGATTGGTGCCAGATCAGTGCCAGGTCAGGGCTGGATCAATGCCAGGTCAGGGTTGGATCAATGCCAGATCAGTGCCGGATCAATGCCAGATCAATGCCAGGTCAGTGCCAGATCAATGCCAGGTCAGTGCTGGATCAATACCAGATCAATGCCAGGTCGGTGCCGGATCAATGCCAGGTCGGTGCCAGATCAATGCCAGGTCAGTGCTGGATCAATGCCAGGTCAATGCCGGGTCAATGCCAGATCAATGCCAGGTCAGTGCCAGATCAATGCCAGGTCAGTGCTGGATTAATGCCAGATCAATGCCAGGTCAGTGCCAGGTCAATGCCAGGTCAGTGCTGGATCAATGCCGGATCAATGCCAGATCAATGCCAGGTCAATGCCAAGTCAGTGCCGGATCAATGCCAGGTCAGTGCTGGATCAATGCCAGGTCAATGCCGGATCAGTGCCGGATCAATGCCAGGTCAGTGCTGGATCAATGCCGGATCAATGCCAGATCAATGCCGGATCAATGCCAGGTCAGTGCTGGATCAATGCCAGGTCAGTGCCGGATCAATGCCAGGTCAGTGCCGGATCAATGCCAGGTCAGTGCTGGATCAATGCCAGATCAATACCGGATCAGTGCCAGATCAATGCCAGGTTCGTGCTGTTTGGTGTTGGATCAGTGCTGGGTCTCTGCCAGACTGATGATGGATCAATGCTGGATCAATACCAGACCAATACCGGATCAGATTGATCCCGGATCAATGCTGGACTGATCCTGAGCCAATCCCAGATCAATGCTGGATTGATGCTGGACTGATCCTGAGCCAATACCAGATCAATGCTGGACTGATCCTGAGCCAATACCAGATCAATGCTGGAACTGATTCTGAGCCAATACCAGATCAATGCTGGATCAATGTTGGATTGATACTGAGCCGATATCAGATTGATCCCGGATCAATGCTGGATTGATGCTGAGCCAATACCAGATCAATGCTGGATCAATGCTGGACTGATCCTGAGCCAATACCAGATCAATGCTGGATCAATGCTGGATTGATCCTGAGCCGATCCCGGATCAATGCTGGATTGATGAGCCGATCCCCGATCGATCCCGGATCAATGCTGGATTGATGAGCCGATCCCCGATCGATCCCGGATCANATGCCAGGTCAGTGCTGGATCAATGCCAGATCAATGCCAGGTCAGTGCCGGATCAATGCCAGATCAATGCCAGGTCAGTGCTGGATCAATGCCAGGTCAGTGCCAGATCAGGGCCAGATCGATGCCAGATCAATGCCGGATCAATGCCAGATCGGTGCCGGATCAATGCCAGTTCAGTGCCAGATCAGTGCAGGATCAATACCAGCCCAATACCAGATCAATGCTGAACTGATACCGGGTCAATGCTGGATCAATACCAGCCCAATACCGGATCGATGCTGAACTGATACCGGGTCAATGCTGGACTGATACTGGTTTGGTGCTGGGGTGATACTGGACTGATCGATGGGGGTGATGCCGGATCAATACCGGATCCGTGTCAGACCGATACCGGATCAATGGCGGATCAATGGCAGACCCACACCGGGCTGGGGCCGGATCAATGTTGCACTGATGCCGGATCGATAACGGATCAATAAAGGATCAATAACAGACTGATGCCAGATCAATGTTGCACTGATGCCGGATCAATAACGGATCAATAACGGATCAATAATGGATCGATAGTGGACTGATGCCGGATCAATGTTGCACTGATGCCGGATCGATAACGGATCGATAATGGATCAATAATGGACTGATGCCGGATCGATAATGGATCGATAAAGGATCAATGTTGCATTGATGCTGGATCGATAACGGATCAATAATGGACTGATGCCGGATCGATGCTGGGCCGATACTGTTTCGTGCCAGATCGATACTGGACCAATACCAGATCAATACTGGACTGATGCTGGATCAATTCCTACCAACTGCTCCTTTCGTACCAGATTGAGACTGAGCTGATGCCGGACCGATGCCGGATCAATACTGGACCGATGCCGGATCAATACTGGTGTGATACTGGATTGATGCTGGATTGATCCTGAGCCAATTCCAGATCAATGCTGGATTGATCCTGAGCCGATACCAGATCAATGCTGGATCAATGCTGGATTGATGAGCTGATACCAGATCAATGCTGGATCAATGCTGGATTGATGAGCCAATACCAGATCAATCCCAGATCAATGCTGGATTGATCCTGAGCCAATACCAGATCGATCCTGGATTGATCCTAAACCAATACCAGATCAATCCCGGATCAATGCTGGACTGGTACTGAACCGATACCAGATCAATGCTGGATCAATGCTGGATTGATCCTGAGCCGATCCCGGATCAATGCTGGACTGACACTGAGCCGATCCCCGATCGATCCCGGATCAATGCCGGACTGATCCCGAGCCGATCCCCGATCGATCCCGGATCAATGCCGGACTGATCCCGAGCCGATCCCCGCTCGATCCCGGATCAATGCCGGATCAATTCCCGGGGCTCCGTCGCAGGACAGACTCACCCGCAGCCGATTCCGGGACAAACCTCGTTTAATCCCCGACATGGAACGGGAGCGGGGCAGTGCCCGGCTGGGGCCGGATCAATACCGGATCAATGCTGGATCAATGCCAGGCTGGGGCCGGATCGATACCGGATCGATACCTGATCAATGCCAGGCTGGGGCCGGATCGATACCAGATCAATGCCAGATCAATGCCAGGCTGGGGCCAGATCAATACCGGATCAATGCCAGGCTGAGGTTGGGACTGATACCTGATCAATGCCAGGCTGGGGCCAGGACTGATGCCGGATCAATGCCAGGCTGGGGCCGGATCGATGCCTGATCAATACCAGGCTGGGGCTGGATCGATACCGGATCAATGCCAGGCTGGGGCCGGGACTTGTGCCTGATCAATGCCAGGCTGAGGTTGGGACTGATGCCTGATCAATGCCAGGCTGGGGCCGGATCAATGCCGGATCAATGCCAGGCTGAGGCAGGATCAATGCCGGATCAATGCCAGGCTGAGGCCGGGACTGATGCCTGATCAATGCCAGGCTGAGGCCGGATCAATACCGGACCAATGCCAGGCTGAGATTGGGACTGATGCCTGATCAATGCCAGGCTGGGGCCGGATCAATACCGGATCAATGCCAGGCTGAGGCCGGGACTGATGCCTGATCAATGCCAGGCTGAGGCCGGATCGATGCCTGATCAATGCCAGGCTGGGGCCGGGACTGATGCCGGATCAATGCCAGGCTGAGGTTGGGACTGATGCCGGATCAATGCCAGGCTGAGGCCGGATCGATACCTGATCAATGCCAGGCTGGGACCAGGACTGATGCCTGATCAATGCCAGGCTGGGGCCGGATTGATACCTGATCAATGCCAGACTGAGGTTGGGACTGATGCCTGATCAATGCCAGGCTGAGGCCAGGCCAGGACTGATGCCTGATCAATACCAGGCTGAGGCCAGGACTGATGCCTGATCAATGCCAGGCTGGGGCCGGATCAATACCGGACCAATACCAGGCCAATATGGGGCCAATACCAGACCAATACCAGCCCAATACTGGACCAATACTGGACCAATACCAGCCCAATACCAGCCCAATACCAGCCCAATACTGGACCAATACCAGCCCAATACCAGCCCAATACCAGACCAATACCGGGCCAATACCAGACCAATACCAGCCCAATACCAGACCAATACCAGACCAATACCAGACCAATACCGGGCCAATACCTGGTCAATACCAGACCAACACCAGGCCAATATCAGGCTGATACCAGGCCAATACCGGGCCAATACAGGGTCAATACCGGGTCAATACCAGACCAATACCGGACCAATACTGGACCAATACCAGGCCAATACCAGCCCAATACCAGGCCAATACCGGGCTGATACCGGGTCAATACGGGGTCAATACGGGGTCAATACCGGGTCAATACAGGACCGCCCCCTCCCCGGTGCCCGGTGCCAGGCTCAGGGCCCGGCGGGTCCCACGCGGAGCCGCAGAGCCACGGGCAGGTGGTCGGAGGCCGTGGCCAGCTGGGTGATGACCGACAGCCCGGTCACCTCCTGCGGGGACAGGGCAGGGGTCAGGGCAGGGGTCAGGGGTCACGGGGTCGGGGGTCAGGGGTCACACTCACGGTGGGCAGCGGCGGGTGCCCGCGGTGCAGCACGTAGTCCACGCGCCGGCCCTGCCAGGGCCGGGGGGCCGCGGGGTCGGGGTGCCCGTCCCACAGGATGGGCCCGGCCAGGAACTGCTGCCGGCCCCGGGGGTGGGACAGCGTCCTGCGGGCACGGGGGGCACCGTGAGGGCACGGGGGGCACCGGTGGGGCAGGGGACACGCTGTGAGGGGACAGGGTGACACCGGTGGAGCAGGGGGCATGTCGTGAGAGCACGGGGTGGCACCGGGGTGACGCCGGTGGGGCAGGGGACACTGTGAGGGCACGGGGTGGCACCGGGGTGACGCCGGTGGGACAGGGGACATGCTGAGAGGGCACGGGGTGGCACCGGGGTGACACGGATGGGGTGGCACCGGGATGTGGTGGCTGGGGGACGTGGTGGGACACGGACACAGGGGCACAGGGACGTGGTGATGGGGGACATGGTGGGACAGGGACACAGGGACAGGGGGACATGGTGACAGGGGGACATGGTGGGACACGGACACAGGGGCACGGGGATGTGGTGACAGGGGGACATGGTGGGACAGGGACACAGGGGCACAGGGATGGGGTGACAGGGACACAGTGGGACACGGGCACAGGGACACAGGGATGGGGTGACAGGGGGATGCGGTGGGACAGGGACACAGGGGCACAGGGACAGGGGGACATGGTGGGACAGGGACACAGGGGCACAGGGACGTGGTGACACGGGGATGCGGTGGGACAGGGGCACAGGGACACAGGGATGGGGTGACGGGGGACATGGTGGGACACGGGCACAGGGACGTGGTGACAGAGGGACATGGTGGGACACGGGCACAGGGACAGGGGGACATGGTGGGACACGGACACAGGGACGTGGTGACAGAGGGACATGGTGGGACACGGACACAGGGACGTGGTGACAGGGGGACATGGTGGGACACGGGCACAGGGACGTGGTGACAGAGGGACATGGTGGGACACGGGCACAGGGACGTGGTGACAGGGGGACATGGTGGGACACGGGCACAGGGACGTGGTGACAGAGGGACATGGTGGGACACGGGCACTGGGACGTGGTGACAGGGGGACATGGTGGGACACGGGCACAGGGACGTGGTGACA